TTATTCCATGTGTCATTGACTGTTTCATACCGCAATTTACGATCATTTACGTCCTGTTCATTTAAATTGAACTTAGATTTGAACGAATTGATGTCAATCCTCCTAAAGATTGTTAGGATGAAGTATTCATTCATTGAATATAATTCACAGATAAAAGTATCATAGATCATCAATTCATAGATCTATAGTGGCATATCTATAGTAAATAGTCAAACAACTTTCTGTGTTCTTACGAGTTTCATTGCGGTTTTACGTTTTGGTAAAATCATCCTCTTTTAATTTCTCCGTCTAAATGTCATCACTCTTCCCAGTCAACGACTTAAGTAATTTAATTCCCTTAATTTCCGGGATATCGCAATTTTGTTATACTGCAGGTTTTCATATTTAGGGTAAACCTTCCTCGAACCCTCGACATAATCCCCATGTTTTTATACGTCAGGTTTTTTCTCGGGATGCAGATATATATACTCTACATATATATGGGGACTTGTATTCTATCTTCACACACTCAGAGATATATGAGTGATAATTTGTCTGCATAGCGATGCACGTTTTTGCCCCTGTGTAGGTCATCCTCACCTAGTTTGGCCCGGCAAAAGGGCTTATCAGTGCTAGGTGCAAAAAGTGAGTCACTATTTGGACAAAATGACTTATCTATTTTTCTGACTGGTCTAATGATCGCTAGACAATTATTATCCTACGTTGATTCTATCATAAAATAATATAACTGATGATCATTCCTAGATTTCATAAGGATTTCATTTTCATCTCGAATATAATGGCATTTTTTATCCATCTTGTTTCTGCATGAGTATCCAGGATAATACCAGGGAGTGCGTTTTTATACGTTAATTTATTGCGCATAATTGCTTGTCTTAAAATTATGGTAATTCTGCCCATTCACTTGAAGGAAAATGTTACCTTGAATTGCGTCGTCTTTCCCATATTGTTCTAGAACCATATACTGAATTTCTTCCTATAAATTTTTGATAGTATGAATAATTGTTTAAAATTCTATGAATCGATAAAGTTGGGGATAATTCTAATTTCGAATATTATAATAAGCTAACGAGTCTTCACCAAAATTTGAATTTATAGGAAAATTAAAAATAATGTGTAACAAAATTCCAAACATATTTTTTTGATGATGGGATCAAATTTTTTAACAATTGTTGGATGGCAGAACAGTAATTAATTGCTATGGATGCAATTCAATTGAGTTGCTTCAATGGAACGAATTCGATGCCGACCCGAGGTCTTCATAACAAGACGGAATGCATGGAAATTCTACATCTCTGTAAAGCTTTAATTACGCCACCAATTAACGTCTATTGTTCAGCCATTGTTTCATAACTTCATGAATATTCTTTGGCGTAATATAATTTCCATGAAGAATTATCAAATGTGGCAGCCATGAAACATGAAAATGTATTCCGTTTGTTTAGAGTCACCGCATTTTATGAGCTGGAATGAATCAAATTCACTTCGTTCTACACAAGAAAGTTTTTGAATTCATCTGGAATACTTCCGTATACGAAAAAATACAGGTATAAATGCTTCCAAATTATTAAAGGACATATGAATTGATCTGTGTATGAATATTATATTATCATATGATATTACGTTTGATATGATTTAAATAGTAAATATGAATATGATGTGGATAGTATGTAATAGTAACCTCTTCTGATTAGAACATCGTTGCAATTTTGAATTTCTCTACGAAAAGATGGTTTTTTATGATTCTAAATTGTATATAGTTTATTTTTCAATACATTCGTTAAGTTCTTTCATTGGACGCGTAAAGCGGAGGAATTTTCAGCTGAAACATTCGTAATTTTTGTTAGCTGTATGTTGTTGTCCAGTACGACCTGTAACATCGGTCGCATTTTAAATGTATGATCATCAAGCACGTTTCACACCTAGGTTATTCAAGAAAACAAAGTAGAATATCGTTATTAATTACCTAGAAATTACTAATAACTCATGGTGAATAAAATCTGAATGTGACTTTCTTCCTCAATACCAGACTTCCTTCAACTGCAGAACTAATCATGGTCGAAGAAGCCTTACGATTCAACTGAAGTTTACGAACACTGAAGAATATTATTTCCATAAAACGAGATGAAGAATCAAGCTATATCACCAGCGTTGAGCGTTTGACGAACAGTGCATTGATGGATTAATCAGGTCATAGCAAGTTCGACTAAACTGTTAATTAATTTAAGTAAAGGTTGGCATCTTCTCAGAAAATTATTGTTGTATTATCAATATTATGTTTGGTATATTGATACAGGCTGCATATAAATATTCCTGCTTGAACTGCATGCTTTGAATATTTAATTGTTGCCTGATATCCTCTTGAATTATTTGACTGTATACCGATAACGCTAGCCCCCCATCATATCGTGTCATGGAATTAATGCAACGTTCAATCACGAATCGAGCTCGCAATACACAAACTTGTCATATATCTTATCAGTAAATGAGCGTTGAGGCAGACTATTAAACTATGACCAAAAACAAATTAAACAAAAAGAAAAAAAACATCGACGGTGATTATATATACGATTTTTTTGAACTGTTGTAACTTCTTCAATTCTCGTTACTTTTCACCTTTTGTTGGTCAATGCGCGCGGTCAGGTCATACCCAGTCAACGAGACGGTCTTCTATTGGATAAGAGTCGCCTTCAGCCAGCCAATCAGCGGCTCAGAAAAGCCAGGTGCTCGTCAGGTAAGATTCTGCATCTCCAGGCGAGATTTTTTTCAATGCCCGAAGGTCCCGATCATCAGACCAGAAGAATGCCCGGGAAAAACTATATGAAATTTAGCTCGCGACATGGGCTCGAATTGTGCAGGCCCTATTATTCTAGTCTAAGTATTTTATAGCCATTTTAAATCACATAGAACGATGATAATTGCTGACTTCAAAAAGCAAACAATATCCGAATGATTATACATTTTTTGTGCGATTTATCGTTCTCAGTTCCATGGGAAAGGGGTTCATGTTTTTCTCACAGTAACAAGTAATATTTTCGAGTTTGACTGAAAAATAGCATTAAACCTCATCAATATTGCTCAACGAGGCACATTTGTAGAAGACTAATCAAAAATTTTTTTAATATTAAAAAAACTGAATAACTTTTAGGTCATTTGTTCTCAAAAATGGATTGCTCTACAAGTGGGCTTTGACCTTTTCATTATTTTACGTACCAGGCAATCTTCAAGTTTAAACATATATATGAATCATATAATTGAGCATCAAATTCTTATCGCTCAACTCAATCTGCGTTCTAAATTATTATGAGTAGTTGTAGCCCATATTTTTCATAAATTGTTGAAATCAATTTCTAAATGTAATTCCTTTGAACAAAATTGCATAGTGTTACTTGCACTTGTTAACTTAATAATTCATAATGTTAACTTCAAAACATTCAGTACCTTAGGAATCATTAAGAATGAGTTTTTCAGTCTATTTTCATCAGGTTTTTCAACCGAATCACGGTGAAAGGGTGAAGAGTACGCCCATTTATCGTTTACCCTGAATGCAATCGTCGAAAGGAATTCTTTCCCACATAGAGTGACTGATAAAATTTGTATGGACGAACCATCCGGTTTTCCTAGGAGGAATTTTTAGTCGCGTGCCCCGCGTGGCTTTTCAACGGCAAACCAGACATTCGATCAAGTTTGATAACATGAATTATCTTTCAGGTAAATATTATGCGCTTGCGAAGCCTCTTATTAATGTGTCAGAATTTATGTACCACAACAAAAATTCGTGCGATGAAAGCAACTTGCTACAGAATTGGTCATGAGGTCTTGGCTGTTATTTGTTTGATCGAAAGAATGCTGGGTTCCAATATATCTATGACAATGTAGAATTCTAAGTCGAAGAATTTTCCTTTCGTCGGACGAAGTCTAAATAAGTGAAATTTTTGTAATGCGCAGTTTAAACGAGGAAGTGCAATTTTTTCGGTAGTGTGACTGAACATAAAATGATAGTGATTTAAAAATACTAGTGATTTAAAAATGTTTTTTTAACCAGAAGTAAGACTCCAGTTTGAAGAAAATGCCGAGGACAATATTTTTCGCTCTAAACCGTTTATGGAAGGTTTGTCGGATTTCATTAAAAGAAACCATGCTTTTACCGAGCTATGAAGTTATTATCAATTATACATGGGGATAATTAACGAATTAAATCCTGTCCCGCGCATTCCTTCACATCCTTGGAATTAACGCGCCTGAGTACGTGACCTGGAGCTCGCCTCTGAGGTGGTCGTTACACGCCTATCTTGTGGCGCGTTTTCGACGTTTTTTTAAATAAAAAATTGTTTTACCTAAACGGAAGCAATAAAAGAGATCGTATCATTTGTATCGTATCACCTATATCGTATCACATAAATCGTATCTCTTTACTTTAATCTAAATCGTATCACCTAAAATATGTCGCCTAAATCGTATCACCTAGATCGTATCACTTAAATCGTATCACCTAAACTATGTAAACTAAATCATATCACCTAAACTGCATCACCTAAGTTCCATTCCCTAAATCGTATTGCCCAAATCGTGTCGATAACATATATCGTATTACCTCCATATCGTGAAATGGCTTTCGTAGAATAATCGGAAATTTTTCACTCGGAAAAGTAAAATTGTGTTATTGTATATGCGTTTCCTTCTTCATGAAATAAATATTAGGTACAGGCGTGATCATAGACAAATTGTGCAAAAGTCGAATCTTCAATAACATCAAAATTTAGTCCCACTTGCTTAGTATAAAATGAAAATTAATGTCACTAAACTCCCAATTTCTTCCCAAATTCAAAGCGTGTTCAGGTTTTCCCAAAAAATCGCCCGCGAAGTGGCAAAGCTTGGATGTTTTTCACGGACAGCCGTGATGCGGGCTACCACACAAGGATGTTCCGCAGCACCGCGATCATTATTCCAGTCCGTGGTGGGTCTGTGTTGTTGGCAGGTGCTCAGTGCTGGACGTGCAGTTGACGGGGATGGTTGTGTATGTTCCTCCTGTGAACAGATTCTTGAGTGAGCCCAACAATCTGGTTTGAAAGCTAAACCGTTGATGGAATTTTTCGTTAAACTTGATGAAGATAAAGAGTGGGTCATATAAAAGGGAATGTTGCATTATCATCTTCATATTAACGGCTTACCAATATATTATCATATTACCTCAATGCGCATTACTTTTTAAAATTGAACGATCAAAATTTCGATAGTGTTTAAGTTACGTTTGAATATAAAAAATAGCTACGGACTTCCAGCCAAAGAAGCTATCCGAAGCATCGAAGTCTCCAAAATGGCTTATTTTCTGACAACAATCTTCTGTGCCATCGTGTTTTCATTTATCCAAGGTGAGAACAATTCAGTTGCGTCATATTTTTATTATATAAGTTAGGTTTTTTATTTACTTTAAACTGTTATTAAGTATCTATTAAAATATAACTGTATTATAGTGACCTCATTCAATCAGAACAAATTTTTTTAACAATTTCCTTAAAAATTACATAACAATATAGTTCATTTTAGCTATGAGGAAATTTTAGTAATAAAAAACATCTAAGATCATAGGTAAGTCACTTTATCCATTGGATTTAATTCTCGACGTTTTCCAAAGGACATCGTGTAAAAATAATCGCAATTAGAATGATGAATTTTATCATTTTACTTCAATACCAAAATGAAATCCCCAACGGAACTAGTCGAATGACTTATAGTAAACTGATTTTTTGTAAACATTAGTTATGCGTCGGATGTTATTGTTCGAGAATATCTGATTCGCAATAAAATATATTTTTTCTCGAATGATAATTGTACTTTCTCTCAGTTCTGAAAATTTTCCATGTAACAAAACCAACTTCCCGTAATAGAATAGAAGTGTCGGCGTTGAAGAAATAGGCCCATGGCAAATAGGCCATCTATCATCTCTTGATTGAACCATGTAGAATGTCCATCTAGAATTTATAATAAGTTATAATATACGCAATTAATCTAACTCGAAAGTGTAAATTAATTTCCGCGGCCTCTAAAATAATTCAGTGCGTCTATTCAGACAAAACCTGAGTTTAGGCGTGTGAGAAAGAACGCTCGAGTAGGAACATTCCCATGCATTAATTTGGCCGTGGGAGACGGGCTCTCGATTTCAGACGCGCGTGACAAGAGCGCCACGCGGGGGATATACGACCGATCTGATCACTGCCAGCGATCGTGAATAAATAAAAAAATTCGCGAATAAATTTGAATGGAGTAATCTCTGTAGAACACGTCAAAAAATCAATGATTTTTTGAAATCAAAAATCAAAAATGACAATGAATCAAGTCTTCAAAAATATATTTAATTAATTTTATATGTCTTGTGCGAGACATAAGCTGTAAATTTCCCTAATTTAATTCGATTGGCCTCTAAATTCGCACATAATAAAATTTTACCATATTGAAATCTTGCTGATTGATGGATTCTGTTGAATTTCACGAAAATATTGGCCAGTGAATAATGTGCCAGACTCTTTACATGTGGCGGACTTATTCTTCAATATACAGCATCATTATTGTCAATGATTGTGTTAGCTTACACCGACAATGTGGAACGTATGCAAAAAAATCCACCATCCTCGAACCGATTTACTTTCTAGCAGACAAGCAACATTGCAATCCACGTCTCAATTGTTTTAATTAAGTTCCCCTATCGCCACTCAATATGTCTAACGCATAATTCAGACTTTCTAAATTGAATTACGTCTATTATTACTATCATCCTGACGTATCACATGAAGCATAAACGTCTGTCATCTATCATTATTTTCTTGCATGGAGAAAGCGGCCCGAATTAGATGGCTGCGTCATTTGATCTCTAATGACAGCACTTAAAGAGACCCTCTTATTCCATTCGCCCTGCCCCGACTTTAACTCAACCGTGAACAATCAAGATAAACAAATATTAAAATATAAAGGATTTCGATCAACAATTTTACCATGTGAATAAAATTATTATAATTCTATAAATTTATGGGAAACAGTGTTATATATATATTTTAAGACGAGAATATTATATTTTCACCAATTTAAATAAACAATTTGGAACAACGGCATTACATTTGATAAGTCACACAAACTAATTGTATATTTTGAGCCACATTACAAAAAATTTTCGTACGTTGTTCAAAATTTATTACGTTAATTTTAATAATGCATGACTGTATGGTGACTTAAAATCTTGTCCAGGCATTAAACATTCACTAGAAAGTTAATATCAAAGTGAAATTAAATGAAATATTAGCTCTCTTTGCCCGGATCATAATGCTTCTAAACTATTAATATTTTTTCCTTTATAAATCTTTATGCGTGTCATTTCCTGTGTACATATAACAGTTTTTGTGACAAACAAAAATAATTATTTTAGGAAACGAACCCTCAACTACGTAATTCTATTAATTTTTATATACTTAAATCAAAATACGGCACTAGAGCGCATGTATTGAGAGTGCGTATCTTTCATACATTCCAATATATTTCAATTTATTTTTAATGATAGCGTTACATCAGGTACATAAAGTGACATAAAAAATTTCGCTCCAGTGTGGAAGTTTTACTAAACTTTTCTACACTATATATACATCCCTTTTTCACAGTTCTAATAATAAAATAGAAGAAGGGCTGTAGCATTTGCAGAAGTAAATTTTCATTGGCAGGACCTATTGACCAGTAATGACGATCTTCACGAAAGGAAATCATTGCAAGAGCAACAAAGGGGTTCGCTCGAAGTCGATATGCATTGATAAATTTCAAGATAATTTGCCGTCAGTTATATTTCGGCATGGCGATGGCATCCGCCATGATGCAACGCATGGCTTGGTCTCATTAATAATTACCATCAATAATGAGACACTGACAATCAAGACAGCCAGTTCGTGAGTAGCAATCATTGTTCGTGAGAAACAATCATCACGAGATCTCTTGCTTCGGACGTCATTTGGTTATGTTTTTTCTCGATTCAATTAACCGCTCCTGGAGAGCAATTCAAACAAATGGCCGTAACCCGCCTTTCGAAAGTTCATCGTAACGGTGCCCCCGTTTGGCTGTGGGCTAATCAGACTGGAGTCAAGTCTTCCTGACATGTGGTCTTCTGTTGACGAATCCGACAGAAGCTGAGGCGATTGCAAACAGAAACCCAGCCAATCGTAAACAGAAACACAGAAAATCGTAAACAGAAAATCAGGCAATCGTAAACCGAAAATCTGGTAATCGTAAACAGAAACACGAGCAATCGTAAACAGAAACACGAGCAATCGTAAATAGAAACACGCAGGCAATCGTAAACAGAAACTCAGATAAGCGTTAACAGAAACACAAGCAATAGTAAACAGAAAATTAAGCAATCGTAAACAAAGCACAGGCAATTCATAAACAGTAACACTAGTACTAGCGACTATAAGGACTTTAGGCAACGGAATATTTTTCCCGACTATAAATAGTAACACAAGGACAGGCGAACGTAACCATCCGCAGCAGGCAGGCGATTACAAACATAAATAGAAGTACAAGAAATCGTTATAAGAAGCTCTTGAGCAGGCGATCGTAAACAAGTGCACTGGGGCAGGCGATAATAAATAGATGCACAAGGATAGACGATCTTAACAGTAGCACAAACGAAGGCAATCGAAAAAAATTGCAGGACAAGCGATCGTGAACAGTAGAAATGGGGCATTTAATTATATAAAGTACATTATGAAGCATCCCGCGCTGGTCACCGTTAGATGGCAGGGTTCTGCATTTATTATAACATTGAATATTTGTTGTTCACCGCATAAATAGGAATTTATAGGCAATATATGGTTCATGTACATAATTGGGAAATTTGCAACTCAGAATTGAGTCTTTAATAGGATGCATGCAAATTTATATCTATTTTACATTCATCTAAATGTATTTTATGAGCTTTAATACTTCGAACGAAATACGAAAGTGTTTTTGACCACACGTACACAACAGCTCATTGAAGCTCATTGCAATATAGTCACAAGTATTTCTGACATACACCATACTTTTTCTGACAATCATTAAAACATTAATTTTCAAACGTCATTTTCCTAGTATATTAGCAGCATCTGGAATTTACCAGTTGCTCATTATAAATTTGATCAGAAAATTTTCAATGCATTAACTGGAATAATAAAATAAACACGGACATAGAAGCGTTTTTGCCATGACTGTTTTTATAGCAATAGATTCTGATTTTTCCCCAGACTTCGACTGTTTTTATAGCAATAGATTCTGATTTTTCCCCAGACTTCGATATATGTAATTCATAACCGTTGATAAATAATTTACAATCTGATTCTTTATTCACTGAGCCGCTTAATAGCCATATTAGTTTCAGCATCTTTAGTTATGCAAATTAGCAATAATAATAATAATAATGTTAATAATAATAATAATAGTAATAGTAATAATAGTAATAACAATAATAATAATAATAATATTATTAATAATAATAATAATAATAATAATAATATTAATAATAATGATAATAATATTAATAACAATAATAATTATAATAATAATAATAATATCAATAATAATAATGAAAATAATAATAATTCTATTATTAATGATGACAATAACAATAATGGAATAATGCAATAATAAACAATAATTATGAAATGAGTATCAGGAATAACATTTCATTACTTGCATAGTCAAATGAGCAGAATTTAATGTTTAATTTCTGCCGTCCCCAGTGACCCCGAGTGAGGGGTTGGAGGTGCTGGGGGTGGTGGGGGGCAGGGCTGCGGTGAACGGGTCCACACCTCTGGTGGTGCTGGACTGTCATTACGTCATCACCCCGGGGGAGGAGGCCGGGCTCGTCGTGACGTGGTACCACGGCCATAACCCTCGTCCCGTGTACCAGTGGATACACGGCACCCCTCCCCAGGTAGGTCATGTTCCCTGTTGTTACAAGGCCATAACCCTCGTCCCGTGTACCAGTGGATACACGGCACCTCTCCCCAGGTAGGTAATGTTCCGTATTGTAACACGGCCATAACCCCCGCCAGTGGATACACGGCACCCCTCCCCAGGTAGGTCATGTTCCCTGTTGTTACAAGGCCATAACCCTCGTCCCGTGTACCAGTGGATACACGGCACCTCTCCCCAGGTAGGTAATGTTCCGTATTGTAACACGGCCATAACCCCCGCCCCGTGTACCAGTGGATACACGGCATCCCTCCCCAGGTAGGTAATGTTCCGTGTTCCGTTGCGTAGCACGGCCATAACCCTCGTCCCGTGTACCAGTGGATACACGGCACCTCTCCCCAGGTAGGTAATGTTCCGTGTTCCATATTATAACACGGCCACAACCCCCGCCCCGTGTGTCCCTTGTTACACGGCACTCTTTCCCAAGTCAGTGATACTCCGAGTTCCAAATTCGTAGAAATGCCACTTAAAATATTAAAAAATCATTACGACAAAAATGGTAATTACTGATTTGCTATTCCCTAACAAAAATACTACAACATAACGCTGTAAAAATTATTTTCTTTGCAGGCTCTAGGGATCCTGCGCGGCCGCCTTGACTTGCGCTACGAGAGCTCCCCAGACCACCTGAAGGCCCACAGCGCCTTAGCCTTCGTCACGCCAACCACCGAACTGGCAGGACCATACACCTGCAGGGTGGCCACCTACATGCAGGAGGACTCGGCCACGGGGGAGTTTGTAGTCTATAGTGAGTATATAATGTGGCTACCTACATGCAGGAGGACTCGGCCACGGGGGAGTTTGTCGTCTACAGTGAGTATATAATGTGGCCATCTACTTGCAGGAGGACTCGGCCACGGGGGAGTTTGTTGTCTACAGTGAGTATATAATGTGGCCACCTACATGCAGGAGGACTCGGCCACGGGGGAGTTTGTAGTCTACAGTGAGTATTTAATTTGGAAGTCGCAGCCACGATAAAGCAAACATGATTAGGAGCAAAGAAATATTTCAAAAAAAAAACATTTATGGTAAAATAGTTGTTACTTTTTATAATTGGAGATCTGATAGCTCACGATTTCCCCAGTATGCCTCACAACTTATCCGGTACTTCCCTTGGGTGTTCGTTACTTTCTACGCCAAGCTACGCAGAATATTGTAGACAAGTAATAACTCATATCTTTTCAACCTATCTAACATTGTGTTTCTCAATCTTGCAGCTCCAGCATCACAGTTTGATCTCAAAATGTCAAAACCGTTACACGACGGCAAAATCGTCTTCGTGTGCGATGCGCAAAACGTTTTTCCAGAACCCAACATTGCTCTGTTCTCGACTGATACTGCAAGCAAAAGGTAAGACTTGATCCGGCAAGTCGTAAAAAAAATGTGAAGAATTGATTCTTTCAGCGAAATAAGGCTAAAGATCATCAAATTTATATAATGTATAATAATATAGAATAATTTCATTACATCTGTTGCATGTCGTGTGACCAAAACTTAATGTAGAGGATTTTTTTTAAATGTTGCATCCGTTTTCGGCAAAGAGTTTACGTAATTGAGACAAACTTTTCTGATTAATCCAATATAAAACAGCATTATGATATTCCTGTTTCCATCAACTTATTGAACTGCGGCAATTCGTTGGCCTTTAATTTGTTATTACTATCATTTACTATCATTCCAGCTTTGAATTAATTTACTGCGGCGGTGTTTAAGTGATATAGAATTTCACACTATGGTAAATTCATTTATTCATGCAAATTCAATTTTTTTATTGCAGCCGTGTCCCTCTGCCGGGTATCCTGCACAAAGATTACGACGTGGCGACGAACCTGTACCAAGTATCGGTAGAATCCTTCGTCATGGGCCAGGATCTCGCAGGAGAGACGTTGTTCGAGTGCGTTCTCTCTATACCGGGCACCAGCTACGCGCTCAGAGAGACCCTTCTCTATTACCCAGGTATGATGTCGTATATATCAAGCCAAGAATTATATTATATATTTATATTATATATTATATATTTCCAAGCATTATAAGAGTCTTGTTGGTGGTTTATATTCTATGTATTGAATAATTTATCACCAAATGTACAAAAATCAGTGAATTGATATCATTTATAAAATTTAAATGTGTTTAATTTAAATACAATAATTATTGACGGTTTATGATAATTTGTGCTGTAAGATCAGTGAATATTCTACCAAGGATAAATGAATTTATGTCTTTCCTTGAACATTTGCTTACCAATCAGTATCGGAACTAAATAGGGGATGAAGACTAACAAAATAAAACGATTTCTGGAAGTTACATTTAATCATCGTGGTTAAAAGTTACATCAATTTTGTACCTAATACGGAGGCCTGATTGTGATGATTAATTAAGTAGCTCTTCAATTTTCGTACAACCATGCCGAAATCACTGTCGGCACATTAGTCACCGATATATCTATGAAATTATTTATGGCCGACCTTTGCATTCAAGTAACACTAACTTGAATACAAAGTTGCAATATCACTCTAAATTCAGTATGATATTGCACTAACTTTATTGTAATAGTGTTCTAACTTTAGTATGATATTTCACTAACTTCTGTTTCTATATTAAACAGATGTGATCAGCCGTTCAGCTACTGCTGAAGCAGGTTAGTTGAATACAAATTAATTTCTTGTTTTCTTGGTTTATTTCTAGGGCAAATTGCTGAATATTGAATCGCGTTTACAATCCTTAATTAGAATAAAATTTGTTCGACATTAACACTTATGTATGACATATGTATAGATATTCGTTTAACTCACTCATATTTATTAACGCCACGGTAGTTAATGACGACTTATTGGAAAATTCACGTTTATTTTATTTCCAGACAGTCACTTGATTATTTTATGATGCACACACATGATAATACCTATTTCTTTCTTTTTGCTTTCATTCAAGCAGTTTGCTTGCAGATGATTATTGAAAACCTTCAATCGAGATGTGATGGGCAGTTAATATATAATTATATAGTAATCTAGATCCGCATGAATGAATCATTTCATATATTGTATTACATATAACAATACAGGCATGTTTTACTATAAAATAAATCACAACAATTAATATTTTTTCGTAATATATTCAAACTATTACAATAAATAATTATTTCATTTTTTCTCCAGTTTCAGGTCGGAGCTTGGGCAACGGAGCCTCAACACAGGCCTGTAATATTTACGTGATCTCCAGCATTATAATTCTAACTAATTTAATTTTGTGTCATAGATAAACATATACCAAGATATTTCCAGCTCATCGCACAACACATGAATATAATCTAATAATCATCGTATTCTATAAATTTTTGCAGTGATGATGGAGCTGGTCTCTGAAACGTTTTTTAACAGATATTGTGAATTTATGTGGCGTTTCCATTACTTTTAACTTCTTACTGTACAAAAATAATGTATAATCTGTAAAAAAATATTGTTTCAAGATTATCAAAATAGGACAGGAAACCGGCCATTAACAAGTATTATTATCTTGAGAATTTATTTATTTAGTTTCTCTAGCTCACTAATGTCGCCGCATTTTAGTTCTAGTGTTCTTCAGTATTAATCTAGATTTACGTTAATCTAGAACTTTCAATAATCTTTGTTAATTATTGTATGAAATTCACTTCAAAGTTGTACGAAATTTGCAACTGTTTTTTGTCGTGGATCAAGAGCTAGGCGAGTTTGAAAACCAAATAACAGCTTGTAATCAAATTGATCTCAATTGAATTTCATTTTCAAAATAAATCTTAAAAATTTTCTGGCGCAAACTAAAATATAGAAGCTCGTTGCAGAAATCGACAAATAACTATATATGTATGCATAAAGAGAGCTCAACAGTTGCTAAAAAATAATCGTTTATGAATTCGATTAAGTGTGGCCCACAAAATTTTCATCTGTACATCCATTATTAGCATCGCTTCTATGATAATATGCCTTTTCATGGTCAGTGAGCTTAGCCAGTATACGTATATAACGTCTTCATTGATACCTTCTACATCCATGCAGTATGCATTCTTTTTAAGGGTTCTCAGAAAATTTCTTGCATCTAATTGTGACTGGGTGAGTTTCCATCGAAAATAATTTTTTTCAAATGTTAGTTCATAAAAAATATCATCCCTAAAAAAGTGAACGATTTCCTAACTAGTACATCAATTACTTCTACATTATGCTTCTGAAATGAACGTTCACCACATTGCTTGTTCCGTACCAAACGCCGATATTTTTTTTCAGTCCATGTGTGATCAAATCCATTCACTACATTTTCAAATTTTCATTAGTGTAACTTGATATTTCATGAAACTCTGTTCGCATATCAGGGTTCTCATATAAAAATATAGAATTATGTTTTCTGTGATATTTAGTTCTAAGGTTAATTCTAAGTGTAATACACTGTGAATGATTTGAATACAAAGGTTTCCCTCCGATGTTCATATGGTAATTTTTTTAACCAAACCTTTATGCACTTCAAGCGTTACACAAATTTCTTGCGTTGAAACTTCATAGCAGTAAAAATAAAGCAAGCAAGGCCTGAGGAAGCGTATGATGTGGTCGAATGCTTTTACTGGGAAGACCAATTAAACGTTATGAAGTAATTTAGATGGCATTCGCTGGTTTATAACCTGTTAAAAACATTATTCATTTGAACACAAAAAGTTAGATATCAAATCTAACTGAACTTAATTGTTGTCAGAATATATGAACAAGATCCACTGGGAAGCCATAGAGGTCTGCACACTTCCGAGCATTCGATTAAACTTATATAGGCTCCCAGTGTCGGTGTTGCATCACTGCTTGGAAACGAATTAAGCTGCTATTTCGAAGAGCGCACAGAGCTTCTTGCTTTGTCTTTCAAAGGCTAAGCGTGAAAATTGTTCTTAAAAAGCTTCTGAAATAAAGCCTTATTCATAAGACTTCCGACAATACCATTGAGAAACGCAAGTCACCGAGCTTTAGAACTCAGCTCTAAAGCCAAGGAACGAACAACTGACGAAAAAATTTACGTTACAGCCGAGAACGCCTTCTTCGCATCCGTCTTAAATTGTACTCGACAGGAGAGGAAGCGGAAACAAATTTAACTTTGCTTATAGAATTTGAAATTTAGTTCTTCACTATTACACATAACTGAAATAACGGGTGCATTTAATTATTGGAAAATATTGAATATCTTATTGAAAATTTCGTGATCTCTCATATAATTTAGATTCATGGATCATGATCTTGCTCACTTTCAACATTTTACGATTTATAGTAATTTATAACATTTATAGTAATTATAGTAAGACGGAAACCATAACGTTTCTGCACTTCAGACATTCTTTAATTATAAAACTATATAACTCAACTGTATTCTTCTAGTATCTCACCTAATTCAGTTGGACCTGCTAATTTTTATGCGATGAGAGTATGGCAGACAAATTTTCAGAATACAACTACATATAGGCTTCGTCTGTGCAAGGTATCGCATATGATAATTCTGTAATTTCTATTGGCCGGCATTACTTTACACTAAATTTTATTATTAATTTGTTATAATGACTTTTTTCATTTCCGAGTCAATCTTGAAATACAGCAATAAGGTCCGTATTTGACATCCATCGTTTTCTGCTGGAATGAACCAACATGTTCGAAAGCACAACCTAATTGTTTGCAGTGGCTGTCTTCTCTTAATTCAGAGTTAAATTATAACGAAAAGACAACAGAACTATCATTTGCTACAACTCCAACACTTGATGTTCTATTCCAAAGTTGAGGACCAAAATTCACATTATTTTCGTCTGAAACACAGGGCTTTACACAAGCGACAACAAAGTGTGACGAGGCCTTCAATCACTTATAAGCCATAAAGTAGCACAACCATGTTAACATCTGGCTATGGAACCTAATGTTTTTTGTTAAAAAAAGGCCTTAACCCTATGTTCAGTGGGACGAAGTCTTGTTCCGCTCTGGTGAATGGCTTTATAGTGTCGTTGCATGACTGTTCATTTCCACGGCCGATAAATGGCTGACACGGCGTTGCTTTTCACCGCATCTTTTGTAGCAGTCGCAGGAGAGGCGACAGACATGTGCTCGTAGGCTTTTTGGTGCAGGGGCGAGCTCTCAATCTGGTAATAAATTCATTGAAATTTACGAGAAATAGCAAATGTATTTAGGTAAATTTCTGTAGATTTGTTCGAGAAGATCCTCCCTATGACGGTGTATACACAAGATTTTGATGATTTTAGTGTTGACTGAAAGAAATTTTTTTATAATTCCATTTTTGTACGAACGACGCATGCTGTTTCAAACAAGTATTCGCTGATTTACCTAGCAACTGAACTTCTTTTTATTAGGAATGATGAAAAAAACACAATGGATTTGTAGTTTTTCATTGCTTACAATTCAAATCAAATAATTAACTTATATGCACAAAAGGACCTATTCAACATTTTTCTGATCTAAATGCAATAATTGAGGCGATATTAATGTAATAATTATTATTAATGTAATAATACCGACTGCAGAAGTAAACAATCTTACTCTGGTGAGGTATCAAAACAAGAGGACTTTCCCACGCAAGCAGGACTCCAACGTGATACAAATATCGTGGTCACGCTCGTAATTTAGCGGCAATCATTGTACTAATTTTTTTCCAATTAGTCTCAACGAGATCTCCCAATTAACTGCAATTACTGTCGGAGAAAAAACTGTTCGATGACCCCCCGATGAACTGATCCACCATCGCCAGCTGCTGGATCTGAGCCGACTTTTAAGTTAAGAGATATAAATGAGCAAAACTTTCCCTGTATTCTGTATCATGCAATTGATATCCATTTGAATCGTGTTGATAAAATTTTGATTCGACGGTCACCGCAAAAATATGATTGGAAATAATTGTGCAATTAACGATTTCGGTTTTACGTCAAAACGTTGGACAGTTTCAGATGTCGTATTAGTGGTGCGAAAGAAACAGAAATTGGTGGTTATGAGTAATTTTTTACTCATTTAGCACTGAGTAGATGTCAAACCGGCAGAAAATTTTTCAGAATCCTGGGTGAGAGTCACGAATGAAGCTACGAACTCAATTTTAATTTATTTCCACGATTTAGTAGGTTCATCTATATCTCAGAACCATATAACCACGTGCGTAGACCAAATTTATGCCACTATAGGAAAAAGTATTCATGGAGACTGTCTCATGAGAATAAATTTTTATTTACATAAAATTAACAATTCAAATTGCAAAATTGAAATTCAAATACATCACTTTATTTTGAGAGAAGACAGATGTTCCCGCGTGGAAAATTTAGAGTATATAAAAGTTAATAGTGTGCCCTCATTTCCTCATCCTTTGTTTGATACTTTCTATTCTTCATCGACTTCTATAAGCATGGTCTCCCACAGTCCGATTAAAATTTCTGATTTCATGATTTGGTTGCCTCGAACATGCAATCTTTTCATTAATTCTGAAGTCCCTGGGCCATTTGTCACTGCGGAAAATCGGTGATTGGCGAGCTATACAAGGCAGGAAAACCCCTCGATTTCATATGGAATATTTTTCCCGACGTATCGGCGGTCTTTCTCTGACCGACGGTTGGCCACCTACGATACGCCTATGATTTTGAAAATGTTAATGTGTGATAACGCCATTGGCCAAAGCCGTATCGTTGATTGCGCCAATGAAACATGCGTACAATGGCCAATCCCAGGCAAGAGCCGTTGTTTTCGGACGTCATCCATCGATACAGCATGGAACAATTCACGGCTGAAGCCGGCAATATGAACCATGGAAAAATACCTTTTTAGTAGCCCTCTTTGGGAGTGTATTTGACAATTAGGAATTGTAAGAGGCAATTTATCTTCATCAGCATAGAAACGGTAGCTTTTATGAGGGATTTGGCGTGACCGAATGCACTTCATCGACCGAGAATATGATGTTCTCTAATTTGCTGGAATAGAGCAGATTTTTTTAACGTGAGCCATCTGCATTGGCACCTATTCTTTATAGTTACCTATTCTTGTCCATAGCATTTTATTTGTGATTCAGCACACAAATTTCATCAGGTTTTCAGGATGCCTTGCCGAGTAAAATTGGTAGACGGATAAAATTTCTATATTTTATTAATATCTAAGCGAAAAAAATTTGGAACATTTAATCAATCATGCCCCAATTCCTAAATTTCGACTATATACACATATTTTTGTGACTAAATTTATCGTGTGCCGATGGCATCATTCTTCAATTTTTTTATGTCTAAGAATCAATAATTTGTATTTTTAGAAAATATTTCTCTAGCCTCGCTCCGGTTGATCAATAAGTTAGAATAATTATACTCCATAAGCAATTTAATGAAACCAACTCTGTTTCAATAGGACGTCTTCAGTAGGTGATTTCATTTTATGGGAGCCTAATGCATATTTTATAGCCAAGTGACCTTATACATACCGAACTCGGGTCACGAATCTGGCAAGTTACGGAGTTCCGCCAATGCGGCCAGGATTAAATTCAGATTTAATGGCAACATGATGAATTAATTTATTTCGTTACTAATATGAAAATAAGAGAGATTGAAATTCGATTATTTTTCTGGAATATTTCTGTTCAAATATTCGCGGAAGTTGCGTTCTTCTAATGAACGGACTTCGGGAACCAGATCCTTTATTGGTGAATCTTAGCATTTACCAACACTTTTTAAACGATTTTTCTTTAGTCTGACACGAAATTTGAAAATAAAAGAAACATAATCTATCAATGAGATGTGATTTGGCTCTATTTTTGAGAATAATTAACTTAATTGAGAAACAACCGTTTCTCCTCAACTGTAACCGAGAAAACGCCCTACGATTTGAATAACTGCACTTTTCTCATAAATCGTTTCCAGTAACGTTTTGTAAACGACATAAACACACCTCGCACGATTTTTCCAGCCAAACATACAACTTTAGTACGGAAATATTTATATTTTTTCCAGCAAGTGATGCAGCGCAATTTACATTCCATAAAAATACTCTCTGTCCAACAATTGTGATCCATAAAGCATTACCTACAGATGAGTGAAACCCTCGAGTCTTTGACGTCAATTTAATAGCAAACTCTTGCTCGAGTTTTCCACTACATCGGATTACGCCCTTCAATTTGCCACGGTGATTAAAGAGCACTGAAGTACAGAACTTTGAACAAAACCTATTGAGTAAGCGGATGGCGCTAAGCTACTTATACTTATGCTTACCATGCTCCAATGCTTCGACGACTGCCTCACAACGTCAGTAATCTGCGTAGATCTAATAGAATTTACGAGCTTTTCCGATGCTTCTCGACAAAAAAATATTTCGTCATAAATTCTTCTGTAGCGACTTTTGAACTCATGGGACTTTTATTTGTACCGACCTAAGCCTGCTTCAAGAGCTTGGAATCCGATCGCAAATCTGAATGTTTTATCATTTTGACATTTAA